TTTCTTGGGATTATCCCTCTAATAAGTAATGATAAATTACAGTTAATATTCTTTTTACTTTTTGTGCATTTTTCCATCTTTTATTTCAAATACAACTATAGTTAGCATAAATTTTAGAGCAAATTTGGATGCTCAGAATGCAGGAAATGGCATTTCCGTGGTTCAAATTTCAAAAATTTTCTGGGGGAGTACACCCCCACACACCTGACCATTGCTATCCTCCTCTAATAAGTAATGATAAATGATGGTTATTTTTTTTTAACTTTTGTGTGTTTCTTCCTTTATTTATTTCAAATACAAGTATAGTTAGGATAAATTTTGGAGCAAATTTGGATGCTCAGAATGCAGGAAATGACATTTCCGGGAGTCAAATTTCAAAAATTTTCTGGGGAGTACACCCCCAGACCCCCCATTCATGCGTGGTATATTTGCCACACACGTGGCTTTCAGCCTTTGCTATCCCCCTCTAATATATTATCTCACAGAAAGGTCCCTTTTCAAAAAATGCCCCCCCCCCCCACGGGAAAATCCTTAAAAAAGGCCCTGACCTTACGCACAGGTCTTTGACTCCAGGTTCTCCAGTTACCGGCAGATTTGAAGTCTTCGTGAAATTTGGCGCATTTTGATGGCAAATTCATGTTTATTCATGGCGATTTAGGAAGGGCAAAATGTGCACAAAGATGTGGGTTTTGCTTGTGTTTACAAGCTCATTAGTAATTCACTTGCTCGGCTGCAGGAGATGGCGAAGGGACGTCTCAGACTCAATCTCTACCTTATATATATATGTCTTATATTGTACACCAGATACGTGTTGAACAATTGTAATGATTTTACGTTTAGTAAAATGTACTTCTTAGTTAATTAAACTGCCTCATTATAATTGAAGTTTATGCTTGGGAAATGCTGCTTAGTAATATACATTATCTGATTAATACCGTATAGTTACTTCATTTACACTATGGCATCGGAATACAAACGACAAAAGGATCAAAGTTATGATTCGTGCTTGGCCATTGTTGTCAATCGTATTCATACAATGCGTTGTCTTTTCTGGGGTTTTTAGCAAGTTTACTCGATACGTCACTCGATTTATAAGCCAAACGCGGTCTGGTGCTCGAACCGTGCGCTTCGGTTTCTCCGCCATATAATAATAATAATAATAATAATGGAAACTTTTTATTAGATATTTACGATATACTATATATACATTGATAAACCTCACTTGATAAAAGGTAGCTTATCGATGTCCACTTGAATTGAGTTTAAAGCTAAAATATATATACATGTGAAAATCTTTTAAATTTAGTTAAAAGTTTAAAAGTTCTGGGTTGCTCCAGTCTTTGTTTCGTCTACAGAATATATAATACGACGTGCGAATACAAGTAGCAATTATTTTCTTTTTTACATATTTAATACATTGTTCGTCGTACTTCAGATCATGGAGCATATCAAATAAAGTATTCGTCGATTCACCAAATAC